CTGCTGGAGCTCATGTTGGGACCCCCCACCAGCAGTGGCGCCTCCGCCTCCGAGCCGGAGCTTCCAAGCCTCCTGCCCCAAGCCGGGGCCTGCGAGGCCTCCTCCCCCGAGCCGGAGCCTCCCAGCCCGCTCCCCCCGAGGCCGGCCCCCCCAGGCCGGGCCCCCGAGGCCGACGCCTCCGAAGCCTCCCGACCAGACCCGCTCCCCCCGGCAGGCCGCCCGAGGCCGAGGCCTCCGGGCGCGCGCGAGAGGGCAGGTGCAGGTGCGAGGGCGACGAGGACGCCGCGGTAATCCACGGCGGCGAGGAGCTGCGCGCCGGCAGGTGCGACTTGAAGGGGTGGCCGGCCATCTTGGACTTGCTGAGGGCGGACTGCAGGGTGGAGAAGAGCAGCGGGTTGGAGTGGAGCTGCGACAGGAGCGTGGAGTTGAGGGCGGCCGCGGGTGCGTTCGGGAGGCGTGCGCCAGTTGGGCGTGCAGATGCTGCTGGATGGAGCCCAGGTGGGGCTGGAGGGGCCTGGAGGGGCTGGTGGCCATCGGCGAGGGCGGGCTGTGCAGGCCGGCGGGGGAGGCGGGCCGGTCGGGGGACGCGCTGGTCACCGACACGCCCGATTCGGAGGAGCGCGACCACACGGGGCGCTCCGGGGCCAGGTTGAGGGCGCCGCCGCCGTGGCCCTCCTCCGGCAGGCTGCAGCGGTCGCTGTCGCTGTTCTCTCCGGCGTCGCTGGCGGGGGACATCTTGCCCTTCTTGGTCGAGAAGTCGAGCGGCTGCAGGTCCGCGTGCGCCTCGAGGTACAGCTCGGGCGAGGGCGACATGCGCGGTGGGTGCATGAGGGGGTGCAGCCCCCCCAGGCGGAACCCGCCCCCGGCCGCCGCCAGCAGACCGCCACTGCCCAGGCTCTCGCTCATGGCCGCTGGAACGAAACGAGACGCCGTCAGGATCACGCGAAACAAAGCACGAAATGGTTGTAAAAATAATTAGGAGAATATTAACACTCAGGATAATGGTGAAGGAAATGATCATCTTAAATACAGAAATTGGAATATCAAGAGTGACAATAATGTAGTAGGATAAATGTCATTGATATTCCTACTATAATGATGGTGATGCTGGTAACGATAACGATTTTAATGATGGCACTAACAATAATGATAAAGATAATACTACTGCTAGTACCATTGGTAATAAAAAGATAGCAATAACAGTAGCAGTAATGATAATAATGATAACGACAATAATGATAATAATAACAATAATAATAGTAATGATGTTAATAATAATAATGATAATAATGTCATCATTATTATCATTATTATTATTATTATTATCATTATAGATGATGATAATGATAAGGATGATAATAATGATAATGGTAATGATGATAATAATGATAATGGTAATAATAATGACAATAATACAATAAAGATAATAATGACGATGCTAATGATAATAATAATAATAATAACAATAATTATCATTATTATCATTATCATAATTATTTCTATCATCATTATAACAATATTGATAATGATAATATTATTATTATTATAATTATAACAATAACAATACAGCAACGCCAGCAGCAATAAGCGAAGGTAGCAACCCACTCAGTGCAATGAAAATAACGCCACTACAGCTGCATGATAAAGATACCCACAATATCAACAACAACAAACACATCCCTAAATGTAAATTATAACCCGAAAATCCCGCTATAAACAACAAAATAAACAAACAAAAATGAAAATAAAAAAAAAAAACACCGAAAAAGGTAGTCCTGGAGGTCGATTTATACCTGTGTAGAAGTAAGACGCAAGGGACTCGTCGAGCTCCGCGTTCGAGTTCGGGCGAAGAGAGTGCCAAGTGCCCTTCTGCGCGTCCCGTCGCCAGGAAGTGCCGAGGCAAGTGCCCACGCCGGCGCCGAGAGCCAGGGCAGCACGGGCTAAGGGGTGTTCGACCGCTTCGTTAAAACAGGTGGCGGACATGAGAGGACAAGGGAGGTCGAGTTGCCGTCGCGAGAGGCAGGGACGCGGGAGCATTCGAGTTTGAAAAAAAAATTATAAACTCGGTAGGTTCTCGTTAAAGTATAAGTTTGATGAGAATCTAAGTAATGTTTTGGATCTAAGTATTGTTTTTTTCTTCTCGATTATGAGTTTGCAAGACCGCGTGACGACTACAAGTACTTCCACGAACACGTCAAGTCCTCAAAACACTGAAGTTGCTGAGCGTCGACACAGATCTCGGAGCGTGGTCGTGGGTGGACATTGGAGGAGGAGGAGGAGGAGGTACGACCTGCACGACACGGACGACGCAACTCCCTGTCAGACGCAGCCACTTTCATGACACGTGCCGCAAGCCCCCGTAACCTGCGCATGCTCACTCATCCCTTCCTGGCGCAGCGGGCGAGAGAGGGCAGGTGTCCTGTGTGTGTGTTTGTGTGTATGCTGTGTGTGTGTTGTAGTGTTTGTTTGTGTGGGTGTGTGTAAGTGTGTATGTGTTTGTATGTGTGTGTGTGTGTGGATATGTTTGTATGTATGTGTGTGTAAGTGTGTATGTGTGTATGTGCGTGGTACATGTGTGTGTATAAGTGTGTATGTGTGTGTGTGTGGTGGTACGTGTATGTAGTATGCGTGTGTGTGTAAGTGTGTGTGTGTGTGTGTGTGTGTGTTTATGTGTGCGTGAGTATGTTTGTGTGTGTGCAAGTGTATGTGTGTTTGTGTTTGATACAGGACGCGCCAGTTTATGACCTTCCCCTTTCGTTATGAGTGGTTGTGGTTCACGGAGAACGCCCTGGTTGGCCGTGAATGAGAGAGAAAATCGTTTCCCTATTGATACGATGCAGTGAGACTAACCAAGTATCAAATGGTAATTAACATTAGATAAATCAAATGAAAATATCAAATAAATTTCCAGTATGTAAAAAAAAAAGTCCCCTGCATCTCATAACACTTCTATTCCATCACAAGCGCTCTCTCTCTCTCTCTCTCTCTCTCTCTCTCTCTCTCTCTCTCTCTCTCTCTCTCTCTCTCTCTCTCTGCTCTTCCTCTTAACCCCCTTCCTCTCATCCTTTCAATTCCACCTACCACATCCGCCTCCTCTTAAATACACCTTCCCAATCCCTTACTCCTTTTAAAGGGCCTCTTTACCTCTTTTTGCCTTTTATTTACACACCGTCTTCGCTCCATAAATTTACCCGTAGTCTTAACCACAACCGCACAACCACCCCGTAGCTGTGACCTCGTTAAAGATGTCTTATTCCTCTCGACAATCGATGGTCAAGAGGTATTGTTAAGCCGCCCCTTGCTTCTCCCGCCCTCTAGATTTCGTTCTCTCGCCTACAAGGAGAGGGAGGAGAGAGAAGAGAGGAAGAGAGAGAGAGAGAGAGAGAGAGAGAGAGAGAGAGAGAGAGAGAGAGAGAGAGAGAGAGAGAGAGAGAGAGAGAGAGAAAAGAAAGAAAGAAAAAATATATATGCAATCCAAAAACGATAGACATTTAAGAGGAAAGACTGTTGAATGTCATGATTACCTGCCTGTTCTCGTCTCTCGAATGCATCTTGGAAAAGGCTCGCAAATGGTATAAGTGAAGAAGAAGGCCCGTTCATACAGCCAGGTTTAACCCAATCAAAAATCTATCTATCTATCTATCACCAAGAAGAGCAAGGGTACAGAACCTTAATTCGAAATAAAAGACAAGAAAATATATCACAGAAGTAAGAGAAGCGCCCAAGGTTCACCGGTACACGAAGGAATAAATTGACACGTGTTAGTCTATATACAGGAACACACGGTCACGAGAAACCAATAATACTACTGTACACGCAAACTACTTCCTCAAGAAAGAAAAAAAAAATACTTCTACATTATTTCTAGCCAATGGTGATCTCATAACAAAAATCATGAACCGTGATCTGAAAGCAGAAGAAAAAACGACATTAACTTTTTTCTCCCTGACGCGAGAGTACGTCAGCTGGAATCAGCTCTTGGTCGTCTTTGCTTCCTGATTTACCGCCAGAAGTCCTCGCTCTCTGTCTGTAATAACCTCTAAAGAACGTATATATCAGAGTGATTTGAGCAGAAAGTGCTCCGGTCAAGAAATATAGTGTAATAGACGAGCTAACAATCATAATTAACCGGAGACGGAACGCAACCCGGCAATAAAGATCGAGTGCGGCACCCGGAACGGTGGGCGGAGCTTCCGAGACCAAGGAGTAGGTGGAGTTATCGGATCGGGGCGGAGACACGGGCAGATGGGTGGAGCCTCGTGTTACGTGGGAGGAGCCAACGTGCAATTGATGTTACCTGACAATCTGTTTACGGCTTTATTAAGAGAAATTGAGTCATTCTGAATAAATGATAAGAGGTGCTAGGCCTACAACGACACCTCGATGATTAACCGCGATCAGATACACACAGCTGCACGTGTCCCTCAGGTTAATACACTCTTCACACGCGCACTAAAATCTTGTCCTCCTGATGGAATCCACGTGTCCTTAAGTATATGGGGTTTGTCATGTGTACAAGCATACATCTTTATCATCTTGTGCATCCACAAACAGTCGATAAGCTCATAGCTGCACACACACACACACAAACTGTTTCATAGGTATAAACATCTTGAAAACTATACAAGCATAAGTAGTCTTATAATCATGTACAAATAAACACAGCAAATGTTAGTCTAATCACACAAACATAAAAAAAAATAACTTCTGTCTGTCTGTCTGTCTGTCTGTCTCTCTCTCTCTCCTCTCTCTCTCTCTCTCTCTCTCTCTCTCTCTCTCTCTCTCTCTCTCTCTCTCTCTCTCTCTTCTCTCTCTCTCTCTCTCTCTCTCTCTCTCTCTCTCTCTCTCTCTCCCCACTTGCTGTTTCTTCGACCAATTTATGTGATCGTTACGACCTTCTTCAAAATTAATAAACTAGCGTAAATTGTAAAAAATAGAAGACGATGATAAAGAAAAGAAAGTGATAGGAAAAATATATACAAAGATAAACAAGAGAATAT